CTGTAGAACAGGATTGGCCTAGCCCCTTGGGTTTCCAAGACTTTTTAAGTATTTGTAGGAGCACGAAGCCTCACCTTCCTTCTGAGGTGTAGCCAGTGGCTTTGAACCACTGACCTTGTGGTTAGCAGCTCAGTGCATAGCCCAGCAGATTTGGTTTCCACTCTGCTCCCCAACGACCTGCCGCCCTGAGGAATGTTCTCTCCCCCCAAGCAGGAGCTCCTGCTAGGATTAACGTGGAGTCTGGGCCATGGGCCAGCCGGCTCCCACCCCAGTGATGGACGAGGCCACCTTCAGAAGCGACACCGTGCTGTCTGATGTTCACCTCTACACCCCAAACCAGAGACACCTCATGGTGCGGCTGAATGGCAAGGGCCAGCCCGGTAAGGGCCGCTTTGGACAGGTCCCAGCCCACACCCGGCCTGTTTCTCCTGTGTGCGAATCGGAGCCAGGCGTTTGAACAATATCCTCACACCTCTTTCTCCTTCTGCTGCCTCCTGAGCATCTGCTGCTGCTGGGCCCAGGACTCCAGGCTGGGAAGGCCCCTTGCTCTCTGCTCCCCACTGCAGCCACAATGTGAGACATAGGGGCCTTGTGTGCCAATGGGGGGAGCCTGAGTTTTCTCCTGAGAGCCCCAAGAAGGCACTGGAGGAGCAGAGAGCCCCAGGGAACCTCAGGGTCTCATTGGCACTTTTCACAAGATCCCATGGCATGGGGAGTGGGCTGTGCAGGAGTAAAGACTGCGCGTGTGGTAGAAGGAGCCTGGGGCAGAGGGGTGGACCTAGAGGAGCAGCCCAGTAGAGTGTGTCCAGGAGGAAGGAAAGGACAGCCACCCCAGACAGAGGGAACTGCCTGTGTGAAGGCCCAGAGGCCAGAGCTGGAGCTGGCCCCCATCTGCCTGGCGGTGACACATTTCCCTGAGAGGAGAGGGCCCAGCTCCGCCGTGTGTAATGGGTGTGGAGGGAAGAGGGGGAAGGGAAGTAAGGAGTTCCAGGGCTCTGGGACCCACTGGGCATTAAAGCCAACCAAGCCCACCTTCGTGGAGTCCATTCCAGCTCATACGGACCCTCTATTGGGCTTCCAATACTGTCAGTCTTTATGGGAGCAGACAGCCTCTTCTTTCTTCCGGGAAGCAGCTGGTGGGTTTGAACCATCCTGACAGCACCACCAGGTGCTTTGATTTCACT